GTATCGCCAGAATTATAGCTTCCAACACTTCTACATATCTATAACAGCTTCCATGTCGATCTAATGGCCCATCTCTGTGCTATTTTCAATGACACAATTGAACACCAGGTGGCCCTAACGTATTATCAAAGCGGTTGGCCACGTGTCTATTTGTATCAGTGGTTTTCAACCAGTTCAACTGGTGGCAACATCTTATCTATGAGCTATTGTTCGGTAGACAAATCATTCAGAAAAGATTCTATTTTATGGTTCGAGATGCAAGACTTAAAAAAAAATGGAATTCAATAACGGGATCGCTACTTGATAAGTTAGGCGTACAGCATTAGGCCAATAGTAATAATAATAAATTCCCTGTTCCGATGTCTTTAACTTTTTTTCATTTTTTTTTTTACTTGAAAGCCGTCCAGTATCTACGTACCGAATGTACAGCGCCCTCTTCTGCTGGTGGCGTATTTATAGACATCGCAAGAACGCTATATCGGAGCCTTATGTATTATATTAGATTTAGGATCGAATTGTATTTCTATCGTACCCTATTTGAATGACGCCTTTGACAGGAAAGATACATTTTCGTTTCTAATGATTTCTATGACGTACTCTCGGAATCAATCAGATTCCTGTACCTTTTGCAGGCCTGTCCTGTAGTACAATTTCCGTATAATAATTGCCTTTCGCTATTATGATGAATATGTCTCCTTGAACTTTACATTTAAATTCAGCGGTGGTTATTTTTTTCCATCTACCACGTTTCGCTTGTAAAACCGTTGCCTAGCTAGCTAATATTGGTATTTTTACTACTGATATATTGCCAGCCCATGAGCTATATTCCTATAATAATATTATGGTTAATTTCTAGGGAACAGCTATAACTTCACTGAACAAATTCACGTTTTGTTTGACCCCTTCAACTTAGCTTGTTATTCGAAGGCTAAGAAAACTACCAATTATTCATCACATCTACATGTACGTTAACTAAAAGATGTATAGTATTAGGCCCCATAGCAGGAGGAGACGGGAGGAGATCCTTTTAGGCTCAGCTAGCTCAGGAGGCTGGCTACTCCGTTCGGAGCTGGCGATTTTATTAACTGCAAAAGACATTGGTTAAATGGAGAATGCACAATGTTGATGAGGGGCGTGTGATAGTGTCATACAATATTTGCTTCCAGCCCTGATCTGTTTCTGATTAACAAGTAATCTACTACGGAACCCTGGGCTAAGCTTCATATGCTTCCAACTGCCCATATATATATATAAAATAAGCTCCTGTGCAAAGGCTATGAAAATTGTTTTGAACTTCTAATTCAGTTCATTGATTATTTAATTTGCGGTGTGAAACTGTTAGCATCGAACGCATACATCATCACACAAAAGTCAAGTAGTTCTCTCCGTATTGTTTAAGTCGCGCTAGATGATCTATTCGAAGATTTGTTGTAGTGTTCGATACATATAATTGAGGAATCGAACCTACCTAGATAAATAACCTTAAAAGAAAAGGAATACACTGAGCGAGAGATAACTCGTGTTCAACCGTTTGTCATATTTTTAAATTTGTCAGCGGATCGGTCAATGGCGTGTACGACTACATCGCTTTTACCGTTGTGACACGTAATGTCACCGGTACCACGTCCGTAGTATTTGAATGCACACAAACGCAATGTCTGGGGTACCCTCGTTTCGTTGCCAACGCTAAAGGGTCGGTTACAAAAGAAAGAAGACATTAGAACTGCATGGAATTGGCCACGCAGTCAAATAAAGTAATAAATGAATCTGTTACATGTACCACTAGCATATATATTATCGTACTCAGGGTAACACCTAATATATTAATCTGTCGCTCGATGAACATCTAATTCCAATGTGGGTGTTCCGAGTAGGAGTCAGGCAATCGACTGGGCAGACTTTGACCTTGATTTGTTATCTAACGTCACATTTGATTTCCATACCATTTATTCCTGACGGCGATCCTTGTCAGCTAGTAGTCAGTGGTTGGCGGACGTCGCTGCACCAGCGAACTGGATAGTGGTATTTTGTTGCTGTGGACATGAAAAGTTTGCCGAACCTGAAAAGAAGAAAGGACAGGATGGAGTTCGTTCAAACGATCCTTTCATGAAATTCGACAGTCAGTCCCTTCTTACAGAAGGTTCTGGCCTATACAGCTGGTGCAATGGGTCCCGCTATTTGTCTGGTCGGTCTGGACTGTTGCTTTGCCAACAGCTGGGAAAGTAAACGTGGCTGATTTTGTTCATCAGAAAAATGTCCTGGCAACATCTTGTCTGCAGCTTATGACCTTGCCTGGGTTCATTCTGCCCTGCCACGGCGCCCGGCTCTGTCTAACTGTGCCAAATGTACCATGTTACTTCGCCCATTACGCTCTCCAGTTCGCTGTACCTTAAACGACTCGATCAGTTATGTGAAGTCGATCGTTGCCGATAACATCCTCGTCAACTGCTTACCCATACTTAATGAAAGTGGCAGCGTGGCCAACCATCGTTTTCCTTTTGTGCCTCGTTTCGTTTTTGGTATTATATAGATTTAATCTGCGTGTACATCTAACGGCGAAAACGGTTCAGAATCTCAGATTCTCAACGTTATAATTTATATAACTCAATAATAAGAGTTAAAATAAGGAAGGTTTTAAGTTGAAGAAAAGGTGACTCTAAAATGGCTAGAACGGAATGCTTACGTTACCAACGAAGCTTCGAGTAAAATTGCACAGAGTGGTTGGTACAAGTTCATATATAATTGTATGTACATGCAGTCAGTGTAAATGGGATAACTATGACTGAAATATATGGTTGTGAGCGGCATCTGATGTAATGTAAATGTTTTCGTTTAATAAAGGATAGCATTGTTACAGTAAACGAACACATGCATTAACATATCCCGCTACGAATAACCTAAATGTATTCCGGATAGTCCGCATTGCATATCAAAAAATACGCAAAGTAATTAAAACAAAAGCTGAGCAAGTCCAGTCACTCTGTTCCTATATAATATACACGGTGAAGCCGAAGTCCGGTACTACCATTAGGCATCGCGTAGCACAAAACCGTTAGGAGGGCCCCGTAAGTGTCCCTCGGGTCACTGCAACAGTTGCTTATTTAATAAATGCTTTTATAGAAAAATATTACCGTACCCTATGGCATGCTTATGCCATAGTATTATACGAAAATAAACATAGTAATAAAAACACTTTTGTTACAATCGTGAGATGTCCCCATATCCGTTTCAACTATTGCAATCATTTGCGTATCTTCTGCCGTCTCAATGTATGTGAAACGAAGATTCCCCAACACGCTCCAATGACAGTAGAAGTTTGTCTCAGCTTCTGTTTGAAAAGATTGCCCATATCCAGTACGTCTCAGTTGACGCACACCGTCCTTAAAGGAGAAAAACTCTGCAAGAAAAGAAAACAAATCTATTACTTCTGTATTATAATTGTCGAGGAACAAAATAACTAACGTAAAAACAAGAAAGCCGTATCCATGCAAGCATCTTGCAACAAGTGGCATACAGACACGGTGCGGTACATGCTCAACAAAAGGAGTTAAACAGATTATCAGACAGAGAACTATCGTTGCACTTTGCCAGTCGTTTTAGTAGGAGTAGAGTTATTTGATGGAACAAGAATCATGAAAATACAAAAGACTCTGGTTTAGCTAAATAGAGCTTTTAGAATTAAGTCTTCAAATTTATGCTGGTGTAAGATGCCTTTCGTATGGTTTCCGACGATGCCTGTACCCTTGAATATCTAGACTTTTGGCGTTCATGAAAAAAAACCGTGATAAAAGTTACCATTAAGATTCGAAAAGAAGAAAATAAGGTTTTTATGTTTATGCGTGCTCTCACTAAATGCAAAATATCGCTGGCAATCTCTGCGCTCTGCTTAAAGAAACAGAGAAGTAAGGAATGCTTATAATGAATAGAAATAATAATAGTAATAAATTACTATGGACCATGTGGTATAATTGATGCGTGTGGTTCTTCTTATGTTGAATGGTTGTTGTTCCCTCCGTGAAAACAACCTCAGTTATTCCCAAAGAAGCTTACAAATGACACGGAGACTTACAAATCCTAGATATGTCAAGCCTTTCTGACGTCATCAATATACTAAATTACCAGATCCACGAAAATATATAATTACTTGATCAAAATGTAATGGCATCTTTTCTCAGATGTTTCTTCCTATCGCCGTTCGAAAGACTATTTTTTTCCATCATCAGCTCGTTGTAACTTCGCGACGAAGGCACATTTTCTTCTGTAGTTCAGATTTCGAAAATGAAAACCTCAAGTCAAAGAGAGGTGATCTTCTTTACTTTATTATTCTACCTGTTCCCAGGGCTACAAAATTATTAAAGAAGCCCAAGATATCTGTGCCGCGTGTAGCGAGAGTTTTACAGTATAGTGGGCTTTTTGAGAAACATTCACGAAATTTAAGATGGAACTTCGGACTCGAAGAATGCATTACATCCAGATCGGCTATCCCGAAGTCTGCCATTCTACTATTTCCAGGCAGCTTGGATATATGGATTTATTAAAAGTTAGGAACATGGGTGTCTCATGAAGCGAGTCCAGGGGAAATAACGAGACAATCAACAAGAGTTATATACATAATGATGACACACTTTGTATAATGGGAAACGAAGCTATATAACCGACAAGACCTGATAGACAAAGCTAAATCTACCTTCTCTAAATATGCCAAGCTGCAAGAAATGAACGAAATAAATAAATCATTATCGCTTGGGAAAAGAGTAATGGCAAGTGCATTCCATTTTATATCTGAAATAAAAAATTATACTCTTGCTAGGCGAATGAACCGACACTAGTTGTTTGAGGGAACCAATATTTAGTTCACGAGAGTATGTATTCAACGAAAGTCTTCTACTGGAGTCAATGGTGTGCTTACAGATAACCTATATAAATTCTAGCCAGAGGTACGCAAAACCTGCCTTGTTGATACTCTTAGTAACATCCTGTGTCTCGCATTTATATTTCAGGTAGTCGGCCGATGCTGAGCTAAGGCGGCCGGCCTCTTCGTGGGTCGGCCCGCAGGGCCGCCCGAATCGGGTGCTGGAGAAAGGGAATATTATCGGGATGCAGTGTACACATTCTCACACATGTATAAGCCCAAACAATGTGTTTTTCATGAAAGCAAATGTAGGATAAGAAGTGGATAATACAAGGGCAGAACGGAGTACAAAGTAGCCAACAGTCGCCTGCTGTAGCAGTGAACGGTTGACCTAAACTGTTGCACCGAGGACGGGTCACGCTGTCACCGTACAGACGCGCTCAGATAGCGAACTGTCTATTAGGATACACACACAGGAGGACCAAGAGCAAACTGGGACACGACGACCGGGCATAAACAGGGCTTGCGGCAACAACATCTAAAGTCAATAGTACCAGTATTTAACGTCGCCGTATCCCGAAAACAATGTGGAGGAGATATTTGTCGTTCCGCCTTGTCGTTTATTGAATAGGCACCAGTTACCAAGAGCGAGAAAGAATTAGTGGTTATTACTGTGTGTTGGCACCATTACGGGCTCGGAACATAAGAAAAAGTGAGCCACTAGAGATTACTGACTAAATGTGGCGCAAAAAAACGGCGCCAGCCAAAGCGTTAGAAAACAAGAGAACGTGGACAGGAGCGTGAGTGGGATTCGCTCGCGCAGCCGCCACCGGAGAGGAGAGTGTAACTGGAGGAGCTAGCAGGCTCGAGCTGCTGTTGTTCCGAAGAAGTTGAGGCTCTCCAGGGGAGCCCAGAGGGCGCCGTCGGGCCAGGCCGACCCCTAGTGGTATTTCCTATCAGAGGAGTCGGCATAGCCCACTGCCGCCCTCCGGAGCCGCTCCAGGGCCGCGCCCCATCAGCCAGCCCCTTAATTAGCCGGCGGCAAGTCTGCGCCGCCAATACCGATACGACTGGCGGACATTCGTCAAGAGCGGACAGTGCGCCCCGCAACGCCTTATCACAACAACAACAACAACAAGGCGAAGAAAGAGAGCAGCGACAGGTGCACCTTCCACCTCAGGAACAAGTGAATCCTCTCAACGACGACGGCCATGTAGGAGTCGCAGAAGGTGTGGATCTTACGCAGCAGGCTACAACATCGCACGAAGTAAGTGAACGCTAGTTGAGAATTACTATGGCGGATTTGTGTACCCTAATAGTTTTAGCCGCTGCCGATTTTCGAAAAGGGTTTAATTCGTAATTTAACGACTCAAATGTCCTATGACTAGCATCTGTGGCACGAGCATAGACCTTGTGTGTGGCTATTTGCTTATTAATTGCGATAAAATACATTTGCACAAATATTTTTTTGCCATCTTAAATCCAAAGTTCAAAGCATATTAATCGCAGCTTGCTGACGAAATACTTTTATTGATTCTTACGCAGATATATAATCACTAGTGTTCAACTGTCTGAAAACAAGGACCACATGCTTTCCTGTTTTCGCGCTGTACGATTTCAATCCGTGTTCTAAGTAGCGTTAACAGAAAAGTAACGTCTGACACAGAGGACATTTAAGGCCACTTGATATTTTTGGCCTATATCTAGGTACGACTACATTTCTACAACATCCTCGTAAAAATCTGTCTTTGTATGTAGTCTGCCAATTTCTATAAAAAATGATCACAATCTGATTTTGATGCGTCGTACTGTTTCAGATGCCAAGGACAGCCGGTGGGACCGGCGGTGGCGGAAAAAATGGTGGAGCACGAGGTCGTTTGAGTCGCAGCGCCGGAAGTGCAAAAAGGAGCCGCAGGCGGAGGGCCACTGGTGCCTTCGACCCGATCAATGCGCTGAACCAATCATTCATCAATGTCGGCATCGCCTCTCTCTCGAAAGGCACTTATTTCGTGCCAAAGAAGGCTTTAGGCTTCGCTGACTTTTCCCGACACTGCAAGCTGCTACACAAGAACAAACATCTGCTACGCACTGAGTTTATGGTTAGACTCACAGTGTCATTGTTTGTAGGCGTGCCTACATAAAAAAAACCTGCATTTAATGCATCATATAACGGTGGTTAGACGTTTTGGCATTAATCATGCTCTGCTAAACCGTTCCCATTTCGTGTCTCTACCACTACCGTGTCTACGCCACCAATGCTAAGAAAAATACGCATACAGTATAAAGAGCAACAACTATAGATCCTAAAGTGATTTTTAAAAATTCTTGGAGGTATCACTAGTGTACTTTTTAATAATTGCATTTATTTATTTATTTATTATAACTATTATTCATGGTTATTATTCATAACTTCAATTCGAAACTTGAACCACCCACTGATCATATTCGAAATATTTCTTTTTTATTCCGCAAGTAACTTCCAAATAGCAACGATACGTCAAGCGATACTGACGGATCTAAGCTCCCTTAAATACAGTAAAAAATTACAATGAAATCGAATTTTACGTAAATAACCAAAAAAAATGTAAGGGCCCAAAATGGCCAACAATACGAAAAGTGCCTGAAAGTCTCGAAAAAATTAATCATTACAATATATTTGAGCAATTCAAGCTGCAATTAATACTCTGCACTTCAAAACGGCTATTAATTTCTCTGAAAAGGATCTAGGTGGATCGAAAACGGCTTTCTTGGACCATTTTGACCAATCTTCAAGTCTTTTAAAGCAAAAGCTCATTGAGTATCCTTGGGTTAGCCAGATGATCAGGAACCGCATCAGAACTGATCATAAGATAAATTGTCGACCTTGGCACAGCTCTTCCCACGCAAACATAACGGGTATTGGCTGATTTTTACTCAAATTCTAAAAATGATGTATTATTTTTCCCTGGATTACTAGACTATTTCTAATAGAAATACCTTTCTTCCGGCAAGCGTGCCCGCTGCTACCAAAGCTTACACGAATCTGATATGTCATGTTGTACATGCTACAGCTGTCTTTAAATCGATTTGAGACACTCAAAATTAGCTGAGCTTCATGTTATCCTTGAAAAAGTAAACAAGCACTACTCATGTCGAATATCTGCACTTTCTTTTACTGGTAACGATAGGCATTTGTGAGTCGTTCCCTCGTTAGTTGGGAGTTTGATGGGTGTAAAGCAGGTAGTTGTCCAATTCATTTTCTTACGCCTTATCTTTTGTCGTTCACTTTCATTTCCAGCTGGCTACAAAGAGCGAGAGTCACTCGCAACGTCATGCCAACAAGCCAGCCAACGACCTCAAGAATAGCTACAAGAAACTACTGCCATGTAAGTTTAACATTCCGTTGGCGCTACCCTTTGACTTGTCCGTCCCTTAGGACAATGGAACACGAGGCTTAGTAGGTACGAAGAACTTACGGCGGATCTCGCTCTCTGTCAGTTCTCCATGATCTTTACAATAAGCGCATTTTCTGGCCTGTTCTTAGGCCAGCAGCGATACACCCTGGCGTTTTGCTTCATACACGTATATATAAGTATATCGAGCGCATCAAATGCGCACACGTACACATGACGACAGTTTCAGCAGGAGCTGGAGATAACTTCCCGACAACTTTGATGTGGTCAACCCCAGCCGTCGAATAATAGGGAGAATTGCAGGTAAAAAGTAGCTGATCAATTCATCAAATTAGTTACACGAATATTATTGTACTGATTTGGCTGATTGTGGTCTAATTAAGTTGACGTGTACCCATTTGGAAGCACAATAGCAAGCTTAGCTAAGAGTGATGATACGCAAGCTGACCTATATGTAAAGCTAATCATCGGATCATTTGTTCAGATGCATACGCGAAAGGCATATGATAAAGTATAAGTAAATTTTCTCTTAGCAAACACGAAAGCTTGCACCCGATTCTATTATCTCGCTGCCTGATGTATTTCTTGAAATAATGGGGGGCAGTTCTTTCGATGGACATTCCTATTTTTAGTACCATATACTATCACTGCGACTGGTGAAATGGCCAAGTGCAAACAGGCTGTTAGTGCCTTTGAGATAGCGAGGCGCGTATTGAAGTAGTTGTCTTTCGCGGCCCCGCTGGTAATCCTTTCCGGATCGTCGTGTGCGTACTTAGACTTTTGCGGTGCACAGAAACTTGTATATATCAGTGCTACATCGGCCCTCAGCCAGCTTAGTTTTTGCTACCACTGTTTGGCTCGTGATTCTCTTGACTCTTAACCCTTAGATCTTCCGCTTGTCTGCCCCATCCTAGCACGCGGAGCTCAAATATATTCGAAGGACCTCTCTATAAACCCATGAACAATGATGAGCCTCACTGTTCTTCTGTTATTTAGAAATGACATAAGATTCCCTCCAACTAAATTATGCAGCATTAGCAGGAGCAGTGTGCTAATACAGCGTATTCGGTACTGGACAAAGCGTTACACGGTGTTTTTCCACCGTCACACACCAGCGTCGTGCGGCCACTGTTTTTATTACTGCTAATGACCTTGTGCAGGGCCAGCAATGATAGGGGAAAGAATAGTTGCTGGTAGCCACGCCAGCAGATTATAATAGATACCAGATTTGCTTTTGGAACTGCACTAAGTTTGGTCAGCGCATGCACTTGACGTTAGTTGCTCGTGATTCGTGGGCGGAACCCAAGCCCAGCGAATACGGTCAGTGGCTCCATAGTTTGTACCGAAAACAATAGATGTTGCTTTGGGTTCTAAATTAGTGTGGTACGTGCGTCACGCCTCGTATTTGTGTACATGCTACTGGATAAACAGCACATCGGAAAGGCAATCCAAGAAGCAAAACGAACCGTAGTTCCCTTGATAATGTCGAAAAAATCTAAATGAAAAAAAAACACTAGCTGCGTTAGAAATTCCAGCGAGGCTTTGAAATACCATTCAGGGAAACATTGGATATAGTTGCTAGGGTGGGCTTAATACAGGCCTACGACAACAATGATATGTGGGCAACTGGACGGACCAACCTGAACGGCATAGAGAGTGGGCGTTTCAACTTCTGTTTTTGTTTAGATAAGTTCGAGGAAATAGCTTACCGGAATCATGAACATTTATTTTATACGTTGAGCTTTACCGTCTCATTAGGTTATGTTTCACCATCTGTCTGTCTCGGTGAGTCCTAAGATAAACGGAACGTAATTTCAGACGACTATAACAGGGTTGTGTTATCAACGACAGATGACCAAGAGGATTCGGATTATATTAACGCTACTTACGTTGATGTAAGTTCCACATACGCACAGACAACAAGTATATATCGTTCAGTATTTATAGGTTGTTGTTTTAGAACGAAAAAATCATCTAATGACTTCGACTGTGATTTTCGTTTTTTAGATAAGACCATTATTTAGCAACTCCTTGTACGTAAAAATGTATGTGAGATGTTCCGTTTATTTCTGTTATCGTTTATAACAATAAATACTAGTATTTTTCTGCGGTAAACATTACGTTATGAAGGATTTGTGAGAGATTCTGCTATAGAGCAGTAACGTCTGTTAATACGTAGAAAATTCGCCAACGTCAGTACTTAATGGCGGCCTCTTAATTACACTAACAAGAACAATGAAATGAACATACGTTTACTAATAAAGTCTATTTAATTTTTACTTCGTTGTTATAATCGCAGAGCCTGCTACGACCAAATGCATACATCGCTGCACAGGGTATGTAGTTTTGGACTAGTCATTAACAACTTCTATATTAATATAATACTCCGCTTCACGAGCTTTACATACCATTGCTATCCGGTATCAGTCATGTTTTTACGTAATAAAAGCCAATGCAAAGGATGAATGGACTACTATGTGTGCTATTGTTGCGAAACAAGCACCATCTACGTAAAATTATAGGAGCAAAAACAGTTAAGTATGTTTTAAAAATACGTTAAGTCCATGTGCTAGTGCCTTGTCCCTTCTCAGAAATTCATATTTTCTAAACTTGTGTGTAATCTCATTTTCATTTTTTCGCTATTTTTTTTTTCCAAAAGCTTAGTCAAATGCTATAGAATTGATGCCCAAATTGATCGATTTCTCATGAAAAAGTAGATTAGCGCCACAACGTAAGTTAAACGAACTGGACGGAAAAATACGAGCCAATTGTGAACAGGTTACAGATTTGTATCTGCAGTCGACTGGGTACGTTAGACGGAGACTCACCTTAGAAGCCCAGCGGGAAGCATTTCAAATGGAATCCGTAACGGAGCTGGTAGAACAGGCGTTTCGACCATTCGCGATACCGTACGCAGTTCCTCGACAGCAGACGACTGCCGACGACAAAGAGGATGACCCCCTACGATATTGTCCATGGTCGACGGCTGCATCAGCAAAGAAGATCATTGCGATTTCTTAAAATGATCGAGGCTATTATCGTGCCAACAACTCTTTGCCTGGTCGCCTTTCTTGGCAGCTCAAAGGCTCGTTTTCTGTAACTCCGCTGCTGCTATTCTCCATTCGGTTGTTCTCTCTCTGTCGTGTTCTGATGCTGCCAGACGTTTTGCCGCTCGAAACCGCCTTCGCCAGGATCTCTTCTGTCGTTTTGCCATACCTTGTCGTTTTGCCATACCTTTACATGCGTTCCGATTGTTACGCACCGAAAACCTCACTGCCGCTGATGTTAGTGGGATAAAAAAGGGAATCCTGACAGGAAGGTTCTCGCACAGTCTAATTCTCGTCTACCTCCGGCATCCCTTTTCTAGCCACCTACGCTCCCCCGAAGGAAGCGCGGGCGCTCGTCCGTTTTATGGAATTAAATGGGACTGAGGTGGAAAAGGGGAAAAAAGGGGGACAGAACGAAGGTAGAACAGCGGCAGAAAACTGCGTTGCTTTCTTTACAGCCACTACTGGCCTGTGCGCGACTAAATGATCGTTGTTGGATTCAGGTTCGAGGAATTGCTTCGCTATGCCTTCAATGATTTCACTATTGTCGACACTTCAGTCCACAGACGCACGCACATACACAAACAGAAGACCAGTGAGTGCCATGTTACAACATCGAGGTTTTTACTTTGTTCGTCGTTTCCTATCTCTTGTAACCCTTTTCCAAAGTGTTCTCCCCCTATCAATGCCCCAAAGAAAATCCCCCATTCAGCTCAGTGTACCTGATTGCTGCGAACATTTAAACATCTAGGGAAAGAAAACTGGGAGTTAGCAACGCTGAAAGCTGGCTTCGAGACAATCTGAAACCAAGCAATTTACTGCATACCTATCCGTGTTGTAAGCAAGAGACTCAGCGGAAGAATGTGTACAGTATTAGGCGTTTTCTGCGCTACTCCAGAGAGAAAGCTGAAGATATCGCTTATATAGAAAAGAACTAGTCGGCAGGACAGAGGAAAAAGCGGGACCGTCGTTGACACCCATTCCCCTTTCCGTTCATCAGATGCTCTTCCTTATTTTGGGCTATAGTAATAGCAGTCGGCAATAACAATACTCCAAAAATGGGTTCCTCATGTAGTGCTTTTTCGTAAATAGAGAAGTCGTCAAGTTGAAATTTGCATCTACTGGGAGCGGAATAGAGCTCAGGCAAAGTTCAGAGTACGGCTGTATACCTAGACAACTGATAACTTACATGCAAGGAGCATTCAGAGGACTTCACAGCATTACATAAAAAATGAATTGAAATAAATGCAGCTCGAAGGCTTATGTACATTACGCTAGAAAGCTCTGCGTCAAAACTGGATTAATAGAAAAGGGCGTACCCACTAAAAATAACCCAGGCACGAAAAAACCTTCAACTTAGTGTGGCGTCTTCATCAAGACCACGAACAAGAATAGCCAAAGTGGGTTTTGCCTCAAGAAAAACAGCACGCAGCGTTAAAGGATTCATTATTTTGACATCATCGTTGGGACCAATGACATTGCTTTAAGGTCAAGGAACTTTGAGCGTTCTTTGTAGATTGATAATGCGCGAACCTTTAGCTTACCTAGACTCTAGAATTCATCAGTTCAATGTAACTAGCAGTCATTTGTGGCCCACCGCAACAGACAAAGTAAACTCCCCATAATGCTTAATCCTTAGGCGGACTTCTTTTACAGATCGTAACGAACATCTCTAAAATGATCCTAGCTCTACAAGAAGTAAACAGAGCATTCACTTTAAATACTTGAGAAGCTGGTTTTGAAGATCAGACATAGTATCGTTTTGTAAATAACATAATCTTTGCTGCAATTTAGTAGGTTTTCCTATAAACGAGCCTATGCGGCAAGCATTTGCTAGTTCGATTTCTATGTCTATGTGTGTATCGATGCTTCATTTAGGACCTAACGATGAAACTGTGGCAGACTTCTGGCGCATGATCTGGGAGAGCAAAGCATGCGTGGTGGTGATGCTTACCAGGGTGTTCGACTTCGTCCGGGTCATGTGTACACAATACTGGCCTACAGAAAATCATAAGGTAGTCCAGCATGGCAACATCACAGTGACTCTCTTAGGAGAGGATACACTCGCTAATTTCACTCTGCGGGCACTTCTCGTCAAGCAGGTAAGTAAACATCTAATAAATGCTGAATAAAGCTTCACAGTTGGCTTTTGATGAATACAGAACAGCAATTTTCAATGACAATACAAAGCTCAGCTGTCGGAGTAGCAGAAATGTTCTCTTTTTTACCAATCGATAGAAACGAGCCAGAACGTTTGGGGCTTCATAAAAAATTAAATATCTTTAATATTTAGTACTATTGTAGCATCGTGCTGAGATAAAAAGAAGATAGCTAGCAATCTATTTCTACTGTGTTCGTTTATGATTTGTGGCGGCGATATCGAATTGACAGGGAGCGGAGCAACGGCAAATTCATCAGTTCCATTTTACCAATTGGCCGATCCACACGCAGCCGTTCTCAAATGCGCTACTCGACTTCCGGCGACGCGTAAGAACAGTCTGTCAACAATACAGTTCGAAGCATTCGAATTTGGCTCCGCTTATCGTCCACTGTAGTGATGGCTGCGGCAGGACCGGTACTTATCTAGCTATCGACGCGAACCTAGAGCTCGCCGAAGAGGAAGCAGTCTATGATGTGTTAGCCTATACCAGACTCCTGCGCTCCGCCCGCAAGGGAATGGTCGAGTCGATGGTAGGTGCGAACCGGCATACACATGCGGAGCCAATGGACGTACATGTAAACAGCGAACAACCATTGAGACCTAATAGGGTATCTATTAAGGAGTTTTCTAAATATGAGTAACTCAGAGGCGTTCACTTAGGATTTTCATCTCTATCTAAATTCCCACGTTACTTACAATTCAAAAAAAGCAAACAATGAACACTGAAGCTACTACAGAGAAAAACAAAAGAAGCACATATTTTTCAGTTAGATGCTATACGTGAATGCATTTGACTCGATACTGACACAAAAGTATTTCAGGAAGAAGTGCTGCGCAGGCCTTTCTTAATCTAGTAGTCCTAGACATTGTTCAAGTCACTATTAGATCTTTCTAAAAAATGTACCCTGAAAGAAACGTGACGAATGTCTCGCACTTGCGACTATTTAAGTTACAACTACTGCTTGCATTTGATTATCCTGGTGTTTTCCTTTCAAAGGTTCCCAACCGCGACTGCAGGCCTATATCAAATGGCAGCGCTACGAATTTTACGAATGCTGGGCCCTGGCACATGGGGCCTTCCTCGTCCTTTTGTTCTTAAGCTACTTTTAGATGCCACACACTCCTTTTAGGGGTGAAGTTCCGAACTATAATTGACGATCTAATCGGGTGAGCAATGGACGTGGTTCTGAGAGCGTGTAAATGCACTCGTGCAAAAACAAGATCTGAGTAAGACCTCAAAGTGATAACAGCAAAAGCAGCAGATTTTGTAACAAAGTATCATTGAAGGTAACTTCTAAATAAAAGAGATATCATTCGGAGCTTATTAGTCCTGCACGCATGTTAAGAGGGCGGGGGGAATTTGGCTGCAGGATGCGACTTGCCCTTTATTTTTCTTTTAATCAACAAGAGCCTAAAAAAGATAGGTGAATCATATTGCTGGCTTACTGCAGACTAATAGAAAAATGAGAAAGCAAGTCTTACTCAAGCCGAAAATTAACTACCTGGTGATGTGAATACAACAAAGTCATTTTTGCCGAATCAGAGTGGAGCTCGGCCCACCTATGGCTATACACATTCAACAGAGTATCGCAAATAAAGTTGAATAGAACTGCTGATAATGACGATATCGATGCCTGTACTATTTATGAACTAAGTATCTGGTGCAGCCTCGACAACAGTCGTGTCCTATAGGCAGCGGCCACTTGACTGCCTAATAGATTCTTTTATGCAGACTTTATACGCACTAAAGATGTTCCACGCATACGTCTTGCTATAGGCTTTTCATTGATTTTGTGGCGCAATCACCTATGGCCAATGCACCTTAAGTAGTAAGTAAAAGTGCAACTTAAATTTGGAAGGAGTTGATTTCGTATGTATTTCTTCAAAATCGCCTTAAATTCTGTTCATGCTAGCATTTACATGCTCGTGTGTGTTAGATGAAATGCTAGCCTAACAGACATAAGGTCGACGAAGTAACAGGATTAGCAAGATTGATATCTTATCTGTATAGCTATCTAAGAAAAAACTGACTCACAGCTGGCTCTTATCTTCTGTTTCCTGTATATGGAACCGTACCTGATCTGAACCGTGAGCTATTACCACGGCGGTAATTAAGCCCACTTCGGTCTGCTGTTAAGACCTATGATGAGCAGGCCTAATGTCAGCCCTAATGCGATGTACTATATATGGAATATATATATAATGTATATATATATATATATATTCCATCAGTTTTTAGCTATTCAGTCCGTCAAAATAAGTGTTGTATAAATGTACACGATGTTTATGCTCGTTCTGAATGAAGGGATCTGCACAGGATATTGCTTCACGCAAGAGGTACAACCGCCGCGACTGTCATGAAAAAACTGATTCATTAACAATAGTCAATACTTTTTGCAAAGAATCGTGATCACTGCCTATATCATACCAAATAGGGTAAGAAACCAAACAAATGTTTTGTACGGAAAATTCGCGAATCCAACTTACAATAGCATTAGCCTGATGCAATGTAGAGAATTGTGTCGACTAAGTCAACTTTGTCTACTTTTATTACGTCTTAACAATATTTTCGGCATCATTGAAAGGCTATATCCTTTCCGGAACGACACCTGCGGAGAACACACGAAGAAGATAGATGCAACTGCCTACCTTTTTCTCGTATACCAAATGTGGTCTCTAAATCACGCATATAACCAAGACAAGTGGGATAGATGCCAGAAGCACGGAACTAATCAATCATGTTCATCGTTTGGGAAATTGCAAACCGTCAAGCCTACCAAAAGCAACTATATGGATAATTTAAAGTTGCTCTTTCAAAAAAGAAATAGCGTTTAATTCTTCTGCTCGTTTTTTGAACTCAAAGGGGATCTAGATCAATAAGCTGCAGTGAAGTGGACAACATTCATAATAAAAGCTTGTTCTTTCCATATCATCAATAGGAGCAATACCTGTACATCTATGACACGTTAGACGAGGCCTTCATGTGCGGCAAGACTTGGTTTAGCGTCACGGAGATAGCTCACAAGTTTAAGCAAAAGTCGCAAAAAAATCCCATCACTAGGGTCAACGACTACCAGCGTGAGTACGCAGTAAGTATATCTCACACGTAAATAATACATACACTCAAGGTGATGCGCTCAAATTGGGAAAAACTTTGACAGCGTGTTTGTCATGACAGACTGCTACCCCTGATATGAGATGAAAACCCTATTTTTTTAGAACTAAATAACATGCTGGGAAACAACTCCTGATTTTTTGCAATTTAAGTGGAGATAAATGCTTATCCAATCCTTTCGCGCTTCTTTTGCCCAACATCGACGGCCGATGTCATTACTTTCACGAGACTTCTGAAGGATCCAAAAGAACAATTTTCATCGAGCCAACCGGATGATCGTTAGCGTTTATATAGAAGAAAAGCTGAAAAATTTAGCAACGTGGACTTTCGACGACGAAATGATCGACAGCATTTTGTTAACATACGTTTTTTTTTACATGCAGTCTTAAAAATAAAGCAAATGCATCCTAATTGAGTGAGAACGTCATACGTTTAGAATTGTCCCGCTTTCCGATTGAGAATATCGTTCTGTCGCTCGTTTCACGCGTTCCCATTATAACCATTTCGTCTCAACGGTCAAATCACCACAATTTGTAGTTTTTTTAAACCATTTTCGCAAATAAACACATTTGTAGCTGTCAATTTTAAAATGTGAACAGTTTATTCAAACCCACACGCCTCGGCCCACTCTAATCGTACCGTTTATTTCATCAATTTGGTTTGTTAATATTACTTCCAGGCTAACGTCAAGTATTATAATAAGCCTTTACTCAATTAAACTGAAGAACGCGTTATGATGTAATAACAGTGATTGTCACACACATAACGATGTGTGGCAAATAATTCGAGTAACATTTTAGAAATTGCGGCCTGATTTTTCGGTGTTTTGGATGACCCCATTGTAGAGTTTTGAATGAAACACGTCTGCTTAGAGAAGTCACACGTATGAGTAAGCATATATGACACTTCTTAACAACGAGGATCGGCCTTTTGGGCTGAGATGTACCACAATTTCCCCGTAGATATATCCGAGTACAATAAAGATATTTAAATAGGGTAGTGTATAGGTATTGTGAAAGTTATGCAGCTTTTCAGACTGGCACAATTTAAGCAAAAAACAGCCCTTTCTTTGAGAGCTTGTGGAGTGTAAGCAACCTGCCACTATGAACTTTTCAACTGTTGCCAACCATCCCTCTTAGAAGGTCATGCTGGCCGAAATTATAAACCCAAAAAAGAACTCTAACGGTTTGCTACATTGCATTCGGCCGTTGAAAGCTTTTTAATCTGAATATGTGTTCACAAGCTACTTGTACAATTAGTACGTTCTCCCGTCGTAATGAACCTGTTCAAACAATATAATAATAATAGGCGTTATTAATAATCCGTTGCAATTGTTTTTACCTTATTAATTTTACTAACTATGAACTGTATTATTAATATGCAGTCATTCTAATATGGACTGGTTATCCTACCTAACCTATAACTACCTGTTGTTTCGCTACTGGATTGTTTCAATAAGCTTTTTCATTTTTCTATCCAAATCCGGATTGCAATAAAATAAATTTACTCCAATTATATGTTTGTGAGTTCATCTTCAGCATTACATTCGGCGACGGCGACGAATTGGGTTATGTCTGTGTTGCTATCGTATCCCCAAACGCCATATATATGTAATACAAACAGTTTACAGAGTATTCTGGGCTATCATGTATGTGCTTGTCGTCTCTGAGATGTGTCATCTCTTACTTACTCAGTAACCTTTGGGCAACTAGCTAATATTGAAATAAAGTCATTAATATATATATATATATATATATATATATATATAGTGTGTATAACGTCGTTGTTCATTCATTTCCAGAAAGTAAGCAAAATGAGTACAAGACTGTCAATTGGCGACTGCGCCGGAGGTCACAGGCCGGAAAACCGAGAGAAAAACCGTGATATTACTACTGTTCCGCGTGAGTGTTTTATTGTCATAGGAGGCAATGGAGCGCTTCTAACTAGATATTCCAGTTCACGTATAGGTGAACCTACGTATCTTCCTGAAGTTCAGGATCATACATACATCGATTTAGTTGCGGCGATAATAAGAAAATTTGTATCAGTTTCGCAGTGTCTAATCACGCGTAAAATTCTATTTACATTACCTAAATCTATGAATTACTGAAATGTTTATGGTCATCTTAGGTGAATAGTCGCCTAATACAGGGTGTACTTTTAATACTAACTACCATCTTGGTCTTTGAAAGTGATTAGTTCCATAAGATGCATAATGCAATTAGGTTCCTCACAGACACATAAGCCATAATGCAATTAGTTCCTTAGTGTGTACTATTTATAAGGGGGTAATTTCCCTAAACTAAGTTACCTATGTTGCAGCTAATAAAGCAAATCTTCCATTCTTGCCCACAGTTAGTACTAATTCATAATAATAATGGTACTTGAAGCAAATAAGTTGTTATTCTAAATTATGCTCGCCTTTCCCGCACCATCACTGTCTTCCTTTGGCTTACAGTCTGCTCACCTGATGCAGCGCTTATCGCTTTCCGTTTGGTGCCAACCAATTTATTTATTGAATTATATAAATTGAGCTCGACAGAGGCTGACCAATGCCCCTGTGAATTGCTTAACTCGCTCATGTCTCAAAAAGAGATCTCTACTTTGTGAAAATTAAAGATTTTGATAGGTCCGTAAGTTGCGCGCACTGCCAGCCGTCCTCCTTATTAGATGGACACCATATGACACCTAATACATAATGAACAACGTTAGCATCCGTATAAAAAATGAATCACGATAGAAAGCTAATACGAAGAGCCAATATATTCAGGTATTGTATTGTAGGAGCGTGTACCTGCCTAGATTATGTCCTTTCTCCTATAGTTCATTGTTACTGCATACGAAATACATACAATGCTGTAGGTTATATATAGAAATCACTCCTGTGAAGATACTATTCTATTCTACTAATTCGAGGTCACTTAGGAAAAGGTTCCTTATTTAGATGAAAAGTAATTCCTATATATCGCGTCTTTGTTAAATGCTTATGAGACATTTTATCTATTGTAACATATCGTCCGAGCTATAGGTGCACCTATTCCTTTGTATTAAGTATTTTACTAATTTTGTTCGATGCTTATTTTTATATAAATCTATTCTCTCGCAATATCGTAGGCACTTGCTTACGTCGACAAGTGTGTGATACAAAGGCGATAAAAGATGTTTGTTCCAGCAGTTTTTTGTTCTACCCTATGCAATGTTATTACGACGATGGCAGTACGAATTTGGCTGATTTGTAATGACTATGTAGTTAACTAAATGCAAACGCCGAGCATTTTGCTGGCAGTAAATATGAAGTAAATTATTATTCAATCATCGATCAGTAAATGTATGGAGTGTTTATGGGAAGGATGGAAAAATCGTGCATGCCACCGTTTCCTATTTCTGAAGAACGTTTTTTTTAGCTACTGGATTCCGTTCGTTCCACATTTCAGCGGATAACTTCCGGCCCTACCTTACGACTTTTCAAAGTAACGACAACACCGACTACATCAATGCGGTATTTGTAGACGTAAGTGGATCATTGTTATATGCTGAAAATAGAATGAGAGTCCTTTCAGAAATTATTAGATGCTAACGAATCTATAGGTTTTCCATTGTACAGTTTGTCGAGCTTTCAGTAGCACAGAATTTTCAAATACTCGCTCAATACATTGAAAACTCGACAAATAGAATCTCGATGCTATTGTTTATGGTCGTCTTTGCAAGGTATGGCTATATGTTAACAATAGAGTTATTTTAATAGGATCATTTTCAAGTTATTTCTTATTCTTTTAAGTATACGGTTGCTGTTATCGCTTGTATCGTGATGTCTCAATACTCTTTGATTTGAGTTTGACCCTCCAGTTCGGCCTTCCTGCTATTGTTATGTCATAGGGTTATACGCGAAGCAAGGAGTACATTGTGACGGAGTGGCCCTTACAAAGCACTGCGCAGGACGTCTGGTCTCTCATATACGACCACGGATGCAACGCTGTTGTCATCCTATGTGATCCGCCCCCCTCACATGTACGTATGAAATAAGTTACATGCTCCTTGCTTACTGTTCGAGCACTAAGTTACGCTATTACCTACAAACTTGTTAGATATAAAATTGTTCTAACCTTTTCGGGTAAAATTCACCATTTGCTCTTTCATAAACGTTTTGGCTAGTTTTCATTCTCTCACTCCGTACTGTTCTTGAGCTACACAGTACCTGTGTGTGACGTTGACGTCTAGCACTCGATCTGCATTTGGCACATGCACGTGTTAGACAAAATATAGATTTAATGAATATAGGGCTAAAAAGCCCCACGACTTTACTGCTGATACATGCGTGGAATACTATTTTCAGATTGGTTCACTGCAGCTTGCTCTGGTGAAAAAAGCCTGGCAGGTTTATAGGGTCGTACTGAGCGTTACGTGAGTGGCATCGTAAGAGCATTCACTGGAATTACAATTTGAATAAATTTGTTTTCCAACACAGTACCTTGTGATAGAACGCCCCGGATACTCTGTTGATTCATTGTACCTGAAAATCGTTCACGCTGAACAAGGACTAACGTCTTTCTCACTCTAGCTACCATCTATAGCTATGGAAACTTACCGTGTCAGAATCAAAGTAGCATATGCATAGTTACATGAGTTCGTATAGACAGAACGGTGATTCTCGTATATGCTCGGATGTCTACACTCTGTAGTGTGTAATCATGTGTATGTTAGAAAAATTAGCTGATGCACGTCTTTGACGACATACAAAGTATGCTACATCACCCGTTACCTAGTATGAATTGGATAACGGGTGGCAGAAGGAACACTTTTCCCATTCGCTCACATTTCGCGGCTGCATTCAACGAATCTTTCAATAGACATTTCCCGCGTTTTGGCCGACGGAGCGAGACAAACGCATGAAATATGGGCCCGTATTCACCGTCGACGTCGTCTCCTATTCGCATTATCAGAAAATTAAGTCGTGGATATTCCGGATCAACAAGAAGGTATGTGATAAATACACCTTTTGCTTTTCCATACGTTAGGGTGGAACGTATCTTTTTGCTTTACATTGTTAAGGTTTTCACGTAAATAAATATGAAGGATACGACCTCGAAAGCCGTCTATAGCCTCGAAAGATATCAGGTCTGAACAGAAATTTTAAACAGATTTCTCAAGTTTCATAAACTATTAATACTAAACTGGCTAAATTACAAGAGTAAGAACTAATATAGACACCTGGATTATTAAGTTGTTAATACATGTCTACAATAAATAGGGTAACATGGTTACACTGCCATTATGCCCAGGAATAGTCTGTGAAGTCTGCAACATAAACGTAGGTAACATTGCCACAAAAAGCATTTACACGCTAGTACAGGGTTTTCACCTGAGACTCGACACAGCCATTAAAGCTGTATAAATAACTGTACTTAGCCCCCCCGTCTAACGCACGCAAAAGCACGAATCCAAAGCCGATTGATAGAGTTTAATCCTAGGGCATTAACGTTTTTCTATAGAATCGGTCCTATTAGTAAACCCACTATTAGTACCTATTAGTAAACAGCCAAATCGGCTGTTCGTTGCCAATATCCCGAAGCCCGAGGTTTTATGAAGGTCGCGTCTATTTTTATGGGAACACTAACTAATACTACTCTAGACATAACGTCTAACTGAGAATAAACTAACTGCAAGCTACTGCTAGTTATCATACGTTTAACTCAGTCCGTGTGCGGTAACATGCATCTATTTTGAAACTCACTAGAGGGGAAGAGCTGAGCAATTAAAGGGAAATGCAATTCTCTTCTTCTAATGAAGAAATCGATATCATGTACTTTCCACATGTAGACTGGACATTCAGTAGATACACTAGCAAATTCGCGGACGATCTTTCACTTGAACCTTACCTAAAGGAAAAAAAAGATAAGCAAATCCGTAGGGCTTCTTTTGATGTGTTACTTGTAATACCTATTGGATTTTAGGTTAAGAATTGTTGGATATTTACTTCTGATCAACATCGTGACAGGCATTCACTACCCCTGGTAGCAGACGAAAACTAGTTGTTTCTAGAACCAAACAACAACCTTGTCCTCGCGGCCCGCAGTGCGCCTTTTTTGAAACTGGAATCAAAATAAGCTATTACGTAATCTTTACTGACTTGACAAACCCTAGTCAAGATTAAGCTCTTCATTGTTTGTCCGAAATCAATGCTCTCCATTACTGCCAGCTCTCATGCGGCCCCTAAAAAATTGAATACTGTTTCCACAAGGCTGAATAGACGATTTTACATGGGATTTAGATTTCTGAAGCTCAAAGTGATTTTTCCTTTGGAGCTTATTTTTCAAATGCATGCCTTCGTCGATACATTTTGAATGTTTGTACATATGAGTGTTGTCGACCGCGCCTTCTTAATGATATTTTATGATAAATACTTCGTCGTGAGCAGTAATAAATATGGTGCTTTGAACGACCTTTTCGGCGCCACCTTTCAAAAAAAGAGAATTTTAGTCTGTAAGGAAGTGTCAATCGGCTTGTTGCTACTTATAGTCATTTCAAATGACGAACGGCCCACGAGCGCCGTTCAGACCTACGAAACAATTACTACAGGCATACTCAAGCGAAGACTAAATAAACTAGACTAGATGCAGTATCGACAGAGTGAAACAATTCGCAAATTGCAGCCATATTGAACTAGAATTAACATAATCATGCAATAACCGCCATAGCGATTAGCACCTACCGTCTCGTCCTATTTACAGATTTCAGCAATAAGTAAAGTTACTAATAAGTTCGTTGAAAGTACTGTTCAGCTGATACTTCCTAATACAAATTATGTTGTCCTAAACTTCTGAAATACGAACTGTTGTTTAGACTACTTAGCAAAATTTAGGTTTGGTAATTGTTCTCTTGGCAGATATAAACAATCCGAAAAACAATACATAGTATTCGACATCGCAATACGTTAGTATACCGTTCGCCTATAGGAAGCAAATGGTAGCAACAAGGCAAAGCACACGTAGACAAGAGAACCGGTGCTTATCATTGTTAATCTTCTATTGTTGCTTATTTTCGACCATATAGGTGGTCTCCCTTACCGAATTGATGGCAGGGGTAAAAGCAGAACCGAAGACCACCCAGTTCTTCCAGATCACATGCTGGCCAGAAGGACACCGGGTGCCCACGTCGACCAATACGCTCGTCGAGATGATGAACATGGTCGAACGATGGAGGCAACGTACCACGTATGGACCGGTGCTCGTTATTTCCCACAACGGTTAGCTACGGGACAAGCCGGCTTGGCTATACATTGACACAAACGCATATTCAATAAATGGAGAGAAATACTTGCGTACAGTCAACACTATGAATTAGCCTAATCTTTTATCTCACTTGATGACCAAAGCATAGTAATATTTGTAGTACGTAGCCATTCAGCGATAGCTCCGATACAGTGTCTTGCCCTAGAAAAACAAAAGCAACCTAGCCATTAGGAAAGATCTAGACAGACTACACAAAGATGTGAATGTAGTTTAAAGGCAATGTACTATGAACTAGATGCCCATATCAGTTTCTAAAGTACCTAAAGTTTCAAGAATATATTCTATGTTCTTCAAACCTTAGACAATCTGTTATTTGGTACGTTTTCAACTAAACAGAAATTTCGTTCGTCTAGAAATCCAAGAATTCTAATAGAAGAAATCTTGATTGAATTTATTTTATCAAACGTATTATTTTTAGGCGAACTGCTTTATTTCAAACAGCCAAAAATTGTAATTTTTTGCGAATATAGTATTCACAAATAAAGACATCTGAGATCCGAGTGAGCGATAACGGTATTTAGTCGGCAATATGTTTACAATGTCTCAGATCCTAAATAGCGACAATAATGAAACAATAATATCAAGTGAGCATTTGAAAGAGATAGAGGATAAGTTGTCTGCATGAAATTTGTCCCTGGCTATTGCGTTTCAGGCAAAAGCCGAGCTGGAGTCTATTGTGCGGCGAACGTGGCCATCGAGCAGGTAATCGAACATGGAGAGATTGATGTTTTCCAGGCAGTCCGCACTGTGCGTAGACATCGGGTGCAGCTGGTGGAAAACATGGTGAGCAATTTAAACGACTTCAAAACGAATTATTCTTGATTGAGGTTTTCCCGCTCGTATGCTCTGTTGCAATGGTTCCATCATGCATTGATGCTACCCTTAGGCTGCGACTGAATTCTTGCTTGTGGTTGAGGTAACTTTACCGTTCAGCATACACGCACCGGTATTTTTTATACCCCTGCAAAGACCGACCCTCCAGATAAAGACGAAACAAGCTACACATTAGCTAGCCATAAGCGGACACCCTGAATCACACCGTATTATACCCTGTCGCAGAATAGCAACTGTATGCACTTTACAAAGGAGGAGTGCCTGACTCGACTATTTTTGTTGGTGTTTCCTGCCTTTGTTGTTTGGCTTTGACCTTTTTCTTTCAGACCGAATACAAGTACTGCTACGATTTGGTACAGCATTATGTTGTACACTACCTGAACAAGGATAGCGTACGACCGGCGGTCATCGCTTCTGGCTCGGAAAATAAGGACGAGTCAGGAGAACAGCAATCAAGCGGCACGAGACAATTCACCCTTCAGGTTCCCAAGATTTAGTTTTCCTGAAGAATCTTGGCGTTTTTTTCCTCTGCCAGTTCTTTTATATTACCCGCATGCTATTCTCGCCCGCTACTCCGTTGAAATGTTACGTGACCATTCGATCGCGGGTTACAGGCGTACGTTGTGCGTCGACTCGTTCCTGTAGCTGCTGTCACCAGAAGGTCCTTTTCCCGGCTCCTTTATCACCAGCAGATGAAAACAAGAAAAGTACCACTTCCGCTACTACTACTGCGAGAGCGACTACGAAAGGCAATAATCTCGCAGACAAAGTACGGATCAGGGGCAGGACAACAAGGAGATAGAAACGAACGAATGGTGAGGCAAGCACAGGAGCCAACGTGCTTCACGATTCAAGGTGACGTTAGGACCATCTCGTTGTTTCGTATTCATTTTGAAAAGCTTCACCTTGCCCAGAGCGGTTTGTATCTCGAATAATCGGTTCGGGTAAGACTGCCGTATCCTAAGTCAAAAAGGCCGGTCAGGTGACTACACGGACCTGATCACTACGAGGGTACAGAATCAAGATCGATCATATGTATTCAGTGAATCACTGATTCCGTCATCATTGGGACCACATTAAAATGTCTACCTGCTTGCTTCTTTAGCTTCTCATGTCGTTCGCAGTGCTGCAGCATACTGGCAGCACACGTACAAGGATCCACTATATTCGTGTTATATGTAGCAAGAAACCCGTGGTGCGGAGCGGACCAATAGGGTCCTTTCGTACGCTTAGGGTTATGTGCGTCTGCCTATGTGTGCGTGTGTGTATGTGTGTGAAGTGAAAATTTCCTACGCTTGAATGCGGGGATTTGAACTGCCGCTATTACAAGAGGTGGGATGAGATTTGCTGCAAATTGTTGGCAGGGCGCAAACAGAGGCGGCATAGTGACGATTCGTGTTTCAAGTGTTTTGATCCAGTGTACATCGTACTTCCAAAGTTACACCATTTGTTCGGTGTAAGGCCACACAGCTGTGAACTGTGTGCGGTGCTTTCCATGAAGTATTCCACCGTTGAAAGCTTAAAAAGTACCATAGGTCATGCCTGAGTTAGAAGATGCGACAGACCATCTGTCTTTGACGAACTAATTGAAACCGATGACGCATATACTACAGGCGATGCTACAAGTGCTTCGTTGCACACAGCATCCATATCCAGTGAGGATCAGTCAGTCGATTCGGCTCAACTATCAGCTGTGCATTGTGTGGCGAGCAATCATTATCACCTATGCCGTTCTTGGCATTAACACATAGAATGAACGCATTTTGGCGGACTCGTCCACAACAGGCCACTTGCTGAACAACGTATGAAATATTGGAAAACTGTAGGCCACAAACCCCCGATTTCCAAACAAGCACAGAAGGAAAGAGCCTCTAAAAGAGACAACGATGAAAGCCAAGTCGAGTAACAGGCTACCAAGGCAAGCAAAATGAGCATCTTTCGGACTGCTTTTAGAGCCTAAAACCACTGCACTCGAGAGAAGATATAATAAAAAACGAGGAACAACACAACCAGTGGACAACAGAAAGATCCAAGCAATGGTCTTTAAACATGAAGAAAACGGTAATGAAATAGAAATTTTTGGCACCTACGTACTTATTAGAGGACAAAATTATAGGGAATGAGCTTACCGCCTTCGGTTAGAACCTACTTGGCATTTTTAAGGGGAACATCGAAGAGATGAGATTGCTCCGCAGGGATCCCCTGGTGAGTGTGGTGGCGAAATGTTCTGAAAATGGCGTTAGATTTTTCAACCCAAAGCCAGCAGGCTGGAGACACCATCAAGGTTTAGCGTGTTGCTCAAGGGCAATATCAGCGAATTATGTCATCCACTGGAGTAGCTCAGGCAGCAGAAGTGAGTTTACGAAACTTTCTCATCCGTATCATACTGATCTTCAAGGGCAATTGACTTTCTAACAACGGTAGCTGTCCGTCCAAAGACACATTCAATAGTTTCAGATGGTAGAACTTTCACTCATCCAGTTGTTCAGGTCTTATAGCTTCTAATCAAAGTAGTTCCGAAGCTATGCGACACTCTACAAGCACTTAATGTCGATCCCGATTGAGCTTATTTGTAATCAAGCATCGCTATCGATCGCAGTTGGTGGCCTTACGACCGATCTAGTAGAATGCGCCTACATGGCTTCAGTACAGAGCTTATGAGTCCCAACTCTACAGAGGACTCTAAAGCCTATCATAGCTTGAGTCCGCAAGTTACGGCAGGGCGAAAACAAGTGAAGCACCGTTCAGGAAACGATATCGCGCAGAATACTCTGGGTAGTACCTATCGTTAATCTAAAGGTACGGAGAAGAACCTTGAAAGGAAGAGGTGAACGAAAACTACGTACTGCCCTCAGGTTTTCAACTAGAAAGTATTCTGCGCATTTCAACTTCCTCACTCGAAATGCTGAAGGACAATACAATACGTCCCATCCTAAATGGAACTGTAATAATAATCCAGGAGGTACCACAGTGTGCCTTCACAACTTCATCTGGTTACAAAAAGAACGATGCTATTTTCGTAGCTTTGCAAACAACCGACGTGATGTATTGTAACGGGTCGCTAAGTCTCTCGGCTAATTCTGCTCGTTGTCTAGATCAAATCACACAAACGCAGTGGTTGTCCGTGGAATATCTAATTGGGGCCGCTACCGTAACAACAAAAAACCCAATAGATTTTTCTTGATAGAGACATTGCAGCAGCTGGGCTTACAGCGCTGCCCTCAGACGAAGGAGCCATATTTTTATTTATTTTTATGTTATATAATA